ACGTTTAAGACCTTGCATGAAAGTACATTTGGAGGACTCTGCTTTTTAGCGCCATGTGCATTCAGGAACTGAGAATCTATAAAAAACATTATTATTTTTTAAGACTTACATTACCCACAACATTTATCAACTTTTTTAGTAAATGTTACTAAAAAGTAAAAGTAAAAGTAGTGTACTTTTTTAATAAACGTTTTTATTCGTATAGTGATTGCAATAAAGTTATGCTACAGAAAGTATATATATGACATCTTTTCCAAATTAAATACACTTTTTCCACATTTTTGAATTATGCATTATAAGTGTAAATTAAACCATGTACAGCATTAATAAATATAAATAAAATATAAATATTAATAAAGTGTAATAAAATTAGTCGTTGCTGGCTTCGGTTTTAAATTTGAACATTTCAATCTTCCGAATGTAGCAGAGTGAGCGATAGACCCAGTATGATTGGCTGGCGTTACCCAAACAGGTGAACCTATCAGGGTTTGTACTTTATCGTGATTGGTCAGTTGGGTAAGTTTCATTAGCCAATTAGTGCCTGTTGTGCATATAAAAGGGGGAAGTGTTTGGTTGCTTGGGTTGCATGATTCTTGATACTGCCCCTTTGTGTCATGTGGCGCTTTGAATGAGTGCTAGCAGTTGGGTTATCCTTCTGGCTGTTGGCCGGTTTGTCTCGTTTTTAAAAATGCCTTTTTGCCTGATAAATAGAGAGGCTTATTACCTTTGTTTGTTTTTAGATATGGGCCTGCAAGTAGCTGTAATTCTGCGTGGTGAGCGAGCATGTGTATTGCAGCATTGTACTGTTTTCTTGGTTGGTATGGGTAGTTTAAAGTTTGTTTTAAACAAGTTTGTATGCATAACTTTTGTTCAATGTCCAGCAGAATTGATTGCACCTCCAGGGTTTTCTAATGATCTTAATTGAAGTGTAACGAACCTCAAGTAACTGACTGCACTTCTGCTCTACTCAGTTTTGTTCTGTCTGGAATTCATCTTGGTCCGTCTGTTATATTTTGTTTGGTGTGTGGATTTAGGTGGGAGGGGTTGGCCATGGTACCTTGTACTGCGTGTCCACATGGAGTGCTGTTTAATATTACTGATTTTTTCACGAGTGTGTCATGGGTATTGAGCGTGGGGTAGAAATCTGAGGGTCTTTGCTGGCCACCTCCCCCTTTATTTTCTCGTATTGTAATAAACCTCTCTTATCTTAAAGAGGTTCAATCAAATTAATGGAGGCCAGATGGTATATCACAACACTAGGATTTTATAGAAACTTCACTTTATTTGACAATTATACCTAGAGAAATATTAAAGAGGTTCAATCAAATTAATGGAGACCAGAGGGTATATCACAACACTAGGATTTTATAGAAAAACTTCACTTTATTTGACAATTATACATAGAAAAATATAACCGTTATGTAAAGAGACATTTAAATAAGTCCAACGAACATTTCACTCCGTACACCTACACTTGGACAAACGGCGCTACACAAGTGAAACTTCAACACTGCACTCTAATTGTTATTCCCAGCCCCACACGGCACACTAGAAATCGTGATCACACAATCGGTTTAACAGGTGAAAAGATCAGCGCCTCCCCAGTCCCGTACACGGAGACGGAGTAATCATGTTCATATCAACTTTAAAACTCAGAACTACCATACACACTCGCACATACACGCAACACATAAAGAGACTTAAAATGTAAAACACTTCCCCGTTTCCCGGACACAAGACCCCACCCCGGGGTCTGGGGAAAGGAATCAGCCGTGCCGGATCCGTATCTTCAAAGAAAGCAC